ATGGCATTATTCAAATAAGGCCTTATTCCATCACATGCATTCCTGATTCTGTCTATTAGCATATCTCTTGTGGTTACGGGAGTCTGGTACACTTTTTCTTTTAGAAATCCCCACACAAAGAAATGTAATGGATTTAACACTCCACGTCTAGTGAAGCATGACTCATCGGTCCATAAAACGTTACTTAAAAACTCCCTATTATTATCATTTCCATCAAGAATCCACTGACAAAATGTGATTCTTCGTTTTCCGTCCCCTGGCTGTAGTCCTTGCACAGGTTGCAAACGGTAAGGTCGTCTATGGTAATTTCTAAGAACACGGTGAACATGGCTTGCTGAAATTCCCAAGGCACCAGAAACTCTCCTAACACTTGTGGTCGGATCTCTATCAGAAACTCACGCAGAATCATACGGGTAAATCTGCGCTGACGAACATTTATGTTTCGATCCCTTTAGAGATTTCCAAATCCATTTTCAATTATTTGGCGATGCACTCATACACAAATACTGAGCGAGTTGGATGTCGTCTGGAAATCTTCGTGCGTATTTTCTGGCTGCTTCTGCTGCGTTTCCATTTACAAAGCCATACACAAAATGAATATCCGCTAACTCTTGATTGGAGAGTAAAAATGGCATTTTTATAAAACTTACAAAAAAAAAACAGGTAAAAGAAACTAAATTTCGTGCATTCACAATTGCAAAAAAACGTTTCAGGTTTCAACAGACAACAAAACTAACTGTCAACTAATTGACGTTTAACCTTATTCTGCTTTCAATTTCAAAAATATTTGCAGGCACAGTCTACTTCTAAATATTATCGAGATACTGACTTTTTAACGTTATTTCATCATAAATAATTAAAAATGCATCGAACCTTAAAAATCGAAATATCTCAAAAACGGCTAACTATACCGAAAATTCACAAGAGAGCTTTTTTATGTGGAAAAGTGCGAAGAATCAGTTTTTTTTTTATTCAAAAAGCAAAAAATTGCACTAAGAAAAATTTTTCGGTCATTTTAATACACTACAGGTACAGTAAAGAGCGCCCTCTAGCGGCTATAGTAAAACTATGCCCATGGTTTGTTTTGTCGTACCAAAAAACCATTGTATACCAATTTTCACTGTTATATATCAAATATTGTTCGAAAAAAACTATTTTAAAAAGTAAATTTAAACACCGTGTATTTCGGAAGCCACGCATTTTTCGACCCATGTTTATATAGACTTTATGCATTAATTTTAAAAGTTCCATCGAATCTTAAAGTTATGCAACAATAAACTGAAACACCCTGTATACTATAGTGAATGAAGAAATCTCAGTAGCCGGTTGATAATCAAGAGGTCCTGCTGAATGTGTAGGAGTAAATTACAGCAAGTGAGTTATGGGTCGGCGGAACGTGGAGAATCCGGTAGCCGAGTGTCTGACCACTAAACGAGCCCGGCCGGCCGCAAACCGCTCCGGGATTGCGACTGGATTAATTGCAGACCTCTGGGAACATTTACCACCACCGGCACTAGGCTCCGGGACCCGTCGTCGTCCCCGCGACAATAGCTTAAGATATAAACGCCTCCGGCTACGGGAATTACCTCCGAACTTGAACGGCGCGTAGTGGGCAGTATGACCGATCTGCATAGAAGAAAATCCCAACTAGGAAAGTAGTGCTATAAGCTTTTGGTAAAAGAACCGTTCAGCCATAAAAGCTCTCTATTGTTGTTGCCTGAACACCAAAACGCTGGCTTAATATTGAGTGGAATGCAAATTTGCTTTCTGCAACATATTTGCTCTAAAATGAGGTGTTTAAAATATTCTTATAGCATAGTTGCACAACACCTTATAGGACAAATTTTTAACTGATGCATAAACGTTTATACAACTATTTTATACGGCATATTTGCAGGTGAGTCAAAATGCTTGTGTTGTGGCATCCATGGTAACGTTTATAAAACAAACCCGAGCCTTGTTGTTTTGCTGTGCAAATTTACTACTTTAACCAACAAATTGCTCCCAACGGAAGTACTTATACAACTGTTGTTTAGTAACTGCTAAATATGTTGGTATACAACTTCACCATAACCTAACTTTCTACTGTCATATTTTAGTTAAAATGCCATAACCAATGTTTTATCAACTGTTCAAGCAGAAGATATAGATCTGGTACAAATTCTGGGTGAATCATTCGACTCTGTCGGTATTTCATTTCAGACATTTGTTGTATAACACCTGCAGGCAACACCAAAATATTCTAATAGCCTAAAGACAACATGGACGATGCCATGATTGTACACAACCACCCGCCATATTGGGCAAACATTTATTCCTCTATTTGGTATTAAATAATTATGTTTCAGTTCGAAATTACAGATATAAAGTGATGAACATTAGTGTAATTGTGTCTAAATATAGGATTTGTGGAAGATTTAACGCAGATAAGTTCAGTTTTCCATCTTAAAAATCTAGACATACTTTTGATCATTATCAAAATATGAATCAAATACGAAGCCCGTAGAATTTGCGTAACTACTTTTCACGATAATCACAATAAAATTTGCTGCGCAAGTAATTCAATAGCCCTATATCATAGGGTAGAAGTTTATCATTTACCTGTGTATGAAATTCACAATGGCCGATATGTAAGTAAACAAGATGACTGTATTGTGTTAGTTATATATTCAACTTCGTCTATACAATACATAAGAAATAGTTTGGTTGCAATAAAGTTTAATCACGTAACAGAATAGTTGTATAGTTGACAAAAACTGAATCTTGCACTGACGCAAATGTTCTATAGCGGCTGCAAGAGGCTTACAATTTTGTTGTATAACTGTTACCTGCAGTCCTTATACAACCTCTTACATGACTGAAGTGTCCTATTAGGTGTGCCCATTCCGCTTGTATAGCTGTTCTAAGAGGGTTTTGCCAATGTTCTTACCGTATACAATGCTATGTAAGGAATACTGTATAATCATTCTTGCAACTCTAATAGGAGTGATAATTGTTAGTTGGGATATTATTTCAGCCTTCCTCACAGAAAATCTATTACCGATCATCTTTTCAATGGTGTACCTCGGGGACCTATACTTGGTCCTACTCTGTACAGGGTGATCAAATATTGCATGATGCACATACGCTGTTGGCACCCGTTTATACAGGGTGTTTCAGAACTATGGGATCAAACTTGTAGGGGTTATTCAGTGTAACAGTAGAAAACATTTGAGTACAGGGACCCGTATCCGACGCTTGTGTGTTGGTATATTTAAAAATGATAATAGAGATTGTTATTTGTAGCTGCATTCCTTGTCGCCTTAGTCGTGCTTTCATATTTGTGAAGTTTGCAAGAATTTAACAAAAAATAGTTGTTGCTAATGGAAAAGTTTACCAATCAAGAATTGGCGGATATGCATTTGGCATACAGAGCAACGAACGACAGCATCCGGGATACAAGAAGTTTATTGCTATTCATCGGCGGCTCTCCGAGACAGGCACGTATGAAACCAACATCCATGATACTGGTGTTGCTCGAACCGTAAGAACGGTCGAATTTGAAGAAGAGGTCCTTCAGCGAGTTGCCGACGAACCATCAAGTAGCACACGCCACATTTCTGAGGATATGAATACGAGTAACGCTTCCGTCTGGCGGGTGCTACACGAGATACAACTTTATCCTTACTACTTCCAGAAGGTTCAAGGATTGACTGTAGCCGATTATATCCTAGAGTTCAATTTTGTCAATGGCTTGTTTATCAAATCGCTGCACAACCAAATTTTTTACGGGCCGATGAAGCCCCTTTCATAAGAGACGGTATTTTCAATAGTAGGAATAGCCACGTTGGGGACAAAGAAAATCCCCATGCAATTTTTCCTAGAAAACGTCAGCAACGTTGGTCTGTCAACGTATGGGCAGGCATTGTTGATGATTATTTGATTGGGCCATACCTTCTACCGGAACGGTTAACATGGCCTATTTACCGGCGTTTCTTGGAGGAAGTTCTTACAGAACTTCTTGAAAATGTTCCATTGAACGTTAGACAGCAAATGCGGTTTCAGCATGATCGAGCGCCGGCTCACTTTTCTGTAAAAGTACGTGAGTATTTGGCTCAGCGGTTTGGGCACCGTTGGATTGCCAGAGGTGGAGCAGTTTCTTGGCCTCCTAGGTCACCCGTTTTAACGTCGCTAGATTTTTTCCTGTGGGGACATGTAAAGTCTTTGGTTTACGAAACTTCAGGAGAAACAGAGCAAGACTTAATTGGACGAATTACAGCAACATTTGAAATCATAGAAAGCGAGTATCAAATTTTTAGTCAAGTCCGCCGTAATCATGTGCGACGTTTAAATCGGTGTATTCAGGTTGTAGGAAGATATTTTGAACAATTGTTGTGATGACATCTTGTACAAAAGGCAAAAATTAAATGCACTAAATCCTATTTAGGCGTCTTAGTTCCGTAGTGACACTTTTCGGGATATGGGTCCCTATACTCAAATATTTTCTATTGTTGCACTGAAGAACCCCTAGGAGTTTGATGCCTTAGTTCTGAAACACCCTGTATTTAACATATCATCCTTCTCACGTTCAACCAGCATCATCAAACCTTTCTACCGAGCTCGGTAGTGTATGTTCTTGGTTTAAAAACAACGTGTTGAAAGTCAACGCAAAAAAAATCAGTTTGCATAGCTTTCAATTCCAAAACTAGAAATTGAAGGCGATCAACCTGATCGTGTGCCTAGCGTGCGCTACCTTGGTGTAACATTTGATGAACACCTTACCATCCATGATCATGTCTCCGGCGCTGCTCAAAGCGCTTATGTTTTATTCTATCTACAGCTTTAAAAAGATTCTTCCTAAAGATTCCAAAATCAAGCTCACTACCAGCCTAATCGTAAGCAAGCTGGCGTATGCTGATTATGTTATTGGTGTCCCTTTCTAACTCAACAGGAGGCTTTTCGAATACAAAAAGAGTGCGAAATATAGCTGCTTACGCTATATTTCAGGATTCCCGAGAAGAGAAAGATTTTCCAGGCTTCTAAGTACGTATGTAAAAAAATGTCTTATAACGCATCAGCGTTGAGTAGTACACCTCCATTCTTCTCTCCATACAATCATCTATAATAAAATCCCAGTTTACCTGCTTAGCAAATTGTCTTTTAGAAGTCAGTATCACGCAAAACAATGTTAGACATACACTAAATATGTATACACCTTATACAACTCTTTTGAAGAAATCTTTCTCCTATATGGCACCTTTACAATATGATAACTTGCCAACTACATTACTTTTTAGTTAAAATTAAAGAGTTTATTTTCAATGGTTCTGTATGATGTCGTTCAACCTGACTTATTGTGTTAAATTTTAAATGTTTTGTGCCTGATTTGCAGTGACCGGTTTAGCTACTTGTTTGTGTAATAATTGCGAGTTTTACCTTGCTGGGAAAACTGTACTTTTTGTATTTTTTCTGCCCTGGTTGGCACTGAAAGGCAGCTGTTCAGCTGAATACCCGCCAGGTAAATAAAGTCCTTCTATTATTATTATTATTATTTTTATTGTCATACAAATATGTCTAAAATGGTGGCTTGAAAATCCCATTTTCATCGCGTTTTCTGAAACTCCTGAGTTGTTAGTTCATCAAAAAAAATCTATTTTGTAAAGAAAATAATGATTTGTGATTTTGCACTCGTTAATGGTAAATCAGTATTAAACAACCAGTAGTTAATATTTTTGTTATATAACGGGTGTTTTTTTAAGAGGTATAGGATTTGATTTTCAAAAAAAAACGCAAAAAATTTGGAAAAACGATTAAATCTTTATTTGAGTCGCTAGAACGGTCGTTATAATTTTATGTTTAAAGATTATTTCATGTAAATGTTGGCCGCGGCTCCGCTTTAGATGGCCCATGCGCAAGGTCCAATTTTGGCACACAATCTCCAACACATCGGCCGGTATCTCACGAATAAATGCTTCAATATTGGCTTCCAGTGCGTCAATCGTTGCTGGTTTATCCCTGTAGACATTAGCCTTAACATGGCCCCACAAGAAATAGTCCAACGGCGTTAAATCACACGATCTTGGCGGCCAATTGACGGGCCAAAAAACGTGTGATAAACTGTTCACCGAACTCGCCTCTCAATAGGGCCATTGTTCTGTGTGCGGTGTGACATGTGGCACCGTCTTGTTGGAACCACATGTCAGCCAAGTCCAGCTCTTCCATTTTGGGCAAAAAAAGTTTGTTATTATCGCACGGTAGCGCTCGCCATTCACAGTTACGTTCCGGCCATTGTCGTCTTTGAAGAAGTACGGCCCGATGATGCCACCGGCCCATAATCCACACCAAACAGTGATTTTTTCGGGATGCATTGGTAGCTCTTGCAACGCTTCTGGCTGGTCTTCACTCCAGACGCGGCAATTTTGCTTGTTAACGTACCCATTCAACCAGAAATGAGCTTCGTCGCTGAACACAATTTTTCGATAAAAATGTGAATCTTCCTCCAACTTTGCCAGCGTCCATTCACCAAATTGGAAACGTTGTGGGAGGTCGTGTGGCTTCAATTCTTGCACCAGCTGTATCTTATAAGGTTTTACACCCAAATCCTGTCGCAATATTTTCCACGTAGTGGAGTAATAGAGGCCCAATTGCTGCGAACGGCGGCGAATCGACATTTCACGGTCATCACTAACACTGGCGGATACAGCCGCAATATTTTCTTCAGTCCTCACTCTACGTCTGCAAGTTGGTGGTTTAATGTCCAATAATGTAAACTGGGTTAGAAATTTAGTCACAAGCTTCCGAATTGCTACCTCAGTAGGCCGACCAAATTGTCCATAAATTGGAAGCAGTGCTCCATGCACTCTCTTAACCGAGCATGAATTTTGATAGTAAAATTCAATAATTTGCAAGCGTTGTTTGTTCGTAAGTCGATTCATGGTTAAATTATAGACCAAACTGAACAAGTTTGACAATAACACAAGACACGATTCACGCGTCATCTGTCAAAAACAGTGTTGCCAAAAAGATACTAGCAAAAAAATCACCCATTACATGCTTATTACTACATATTATTTACAACTTGAAAGCTGTATGTTAAAATATAAGAAACAGGTTGTCTGAAAATGAACGTAAAGGGAATAACAACCAAAGGAAATGCAACAATAAAAAAAATTCGAAAACTTAGTTAAAAAAAATACGAAGTATCATTAGGTCAATTTTCGGCAAATTCGTGCTATCTGCTTTCACGGATCTAACGTCCATGATTTTTTTTTCAGTAAAATGAGAAAACGATATTTTTTTACATTGATTGAAAGTTTTTTTAGAAATATGTAATGAAGACAACGTTAGGTCGAGTATTACACGGATGACATTTTTATGTTTACAATTCGTATAACGTCGAATCATAAAATATAGTGTTTCCACCGTTCCATACTGAAAATACAAAATATAGATACGTATATATCCATTTTGCGCTTTTAAAAATTGAAATCAATACATTTTATTTTCCTGAGCCTAATACTGTGTAAAATAGGTACTTATTCTATGAAATTAGATATGAGACAAGTACGCTACTGTCCGGATATCTAAAATCCATACTATCAGTGTCATAAATGTGAACTAGTAGTTATTTATTACGCTTGTTTCAAACCAGGGACCATTAGCATGCCTTAAACCCATTACTAACAACGAGACAAAACTCACTAGAATAGGAACATTAAACATTTTCACCGCTCTATTGGTTCATAATTGGAACTATTTCAAGTACTGTCTGACATTGAATTGAACCTCCTTCTGTCGACGCTCATGCCTTTGGCCTTTGCGGCAGTCAGCGCCAATATGACCGGAATCCCTGCGCTTTGATATATACAAGTCCCTTAAGCCTCTCCTTGATTTACTCTTCTAATTAATGGTCACGGCTTTCAGGTAGACTATTAGATTGTGCTTTCATGGCTAACGAACTTTCTGTTGAATTAGTTTGGCACGAAGCGCTGAAGCACGACTTTATTACTTGATATATTAGAAAACATATTATGCTGAAGCCTGGAGTATCTCTAATATAGGCAAATGGAAGGTTAAAGGAACTACTGTCCTCCAGTAACTATCAATAATTAACAAATTCCACAATCAAATCAAGCGACTATGTAGCCCAGGTTACGAGGGATGTCTTTTAAGTTTCGCATATAGAAACATAGTAGGCTGCGCGGATCGAACGTCAATACCTGTGGAGGAGGCATTCTTTAAATGTGAAATGTAAGTACCTGTACATCGAGTTAGCCTTTATGTAAGAAGATTTCCTTGGAAATGGTGCTAATACTGCACTCAGAGGTACCTCTAAGGTTTTTCATATGAACCTTCTTCTTTCTAAAAAAACTCCTATCTTTTCTTGACTATCGTTTTTGATTCGTTCAAAGCGGCACCATACTCAGCTTCTTTGATGCTAGTATCGATCTCTATACTTCGAGTTATCCAGTAAATTTTGCTTATAGAAACATAGTAGGCCGCGCGGATCGAACGTCAGTACTGAATCTTAACCTCACTCTTTAGTAAACTTAAATTCAAAGCTTCACAACAATATGTGCAGTGTTCTCACTACAGTGATTTTTTAAGTGTCACCAAGTCATTAGAAAAATGGAACTCAACCGAGAGCATTTTCGCGCCATAATTTTTTACAACTTTCAGAGACAATTATCGTAACAAGAATGCCTTGCTGAGTTACTGTCTGTTTTCGGCAACGAAGTGCCACATCAGTCGACAATTTCCCGTTGATATGGAGAATTCAAACGTGGACGGGTGAGTCTTTGCGACGATCCTAGGGTGGGTGCATCAAAATCGGCAGTCACCCAGGAAAACGTCGATGCTGTGCGCAAACCCATCATTGAAGATGGGCATGTGACATATCGCGAGATTGAGGCGTCCTTGAAGATCTCAAAGACCTCAATTCAAAAAAATTTAAATGAAGAATTAGGAGTAAGAAAATTAGTTTCTCGTTGGATACCCCACCTGTTGACTGCAGACCAGAAAGCAGCCAGGGTTAATTGGTATCCAAAAACGCTTGTCCGTTTCAATTCCGGAAACTCAAAAAATGTGTGCAGCATTGCTAGTGGTGATGAATCGTGGATCTACTGTTATGAACCAGAAAATGAACGACAGTCGGCTGTTTGGGTATTCCAAGATGAAGAAAAGCCAACAAAAGTCATCCGTTCTCGAAGTGTTTAGAAAAAGATGGTCGCGACATTTGTGTCAAAAGCGGATCATATTGCAACAATCAATTAATGAGCAAAGAACTGTTACTGCGAATTGGTACACCACCATTTGTTTGCCAAAAGTCATCACCGAGCTTCGAAAAATCAACCCCGAAAGAAGAATCATCCTCCACCCAGACAATGCAAGCTCGCACACAGCCCAAAAAACAAGGCAGTATTTAACAGAAGAAAAGTCGAATTATTGGACCATCCTCCATATAGTCTCGATCCAAGTCCTAACGATTCTTTACTTTCCCGAAAATTAAAAGCAGACTGCGTGGTCAAAGGTTCCAGTCACCAGAAGAAGCAGTTGGCGCATTCAAAAATGCCGTTTTGGATCTGCCAGCAAACGAGTGGAATAAGTGCTTCGAAAATTGGTTCGAGCGCATGCAGATGTGTATTAATATTCGTGGAGAATACGTCGAATAACAATAAAGTCATTTAAAACTACACACCGTGTTGTTTTATTTCCATATGCAAAACTTAAAAAATATCCCCCATACAGAGCAAAAAATAGGTATTTCCTGTGAAGAAGTTTAGCAGATATCTGAATGTTTTAAATGACTAATACATAAAACGCTTCATGCAGATATGCGTTGTTTTTTATAAATAATGAGAAAAGCTCAAAATTCAGTATTTTAAATTTAAATAATAAGTAGACTGGAGATTTTGGAGCATATAAAGACCTTCAATTCTATGTTTTAGGAATTAAAATCGATAAACAATAAAGCTAAATTCGAGGATTTTTAGCAATATTGAATACATGTTTATAATTATTGCAACAACAATTGTAAATGGCTAAAAATTGTTTGTCCCAGAGACGAATTATTTAAACAACTGTTCTTGTCCTAGATATGGCCCTAGAACATTTTGCAAAAGTGAAATGGATTCTGGAACGCTTCAACTTAAAAGAATTTATGCAAAAATGTAATTATTTATTTCAGAATTGTCGTTAAAAATGATGTAAAATAAATATCCATCCTACAGTTATAAACAGTTACAATAGCTCCGTTATTTTTCAATTTAATTTATTATAACAGGTTGATCTGGATAGGTGGTTAAAAAACGTCAAGGTCATTTGTTTTTAAAATATATATCTCATTTGTTTATAAATATTAAGACTCGAAATTTTCACAGATTTTAATCAAGTATCTTAGTTTTATGATACAAATCATAATTTTACTATTAGTTCAAACAAAGGTCTTTAAGACATAGAAAAATTGTTTTCAACTGTTTGGTTCGGTTAGCTGTAAAGCGTGATTTTTGTTTTTTTGACCTATCATTTATTATTACAATAAGAATATTTATAACACCGTGGAAAATTTACATCCCATAATGTTTAAGGTCTCAAGCACTATTTTTTATTTCGCGCCAAACACTGGAATGCCAATTTTTAATTTGATTGACTAGATTAGCATATAGGTTCTATAAATTAAAAAATGATAGACTCTGCAATTTTGCATAAAGTCACCGTTCTATAAAGTGTACATTCAATAAATAACTGTAGATCCAAATATAATGTTTCTGTAACCCAATTCCGTATATTTCCCAGGAAATGGTGTCTAAATGCCATGCAAAACGTTACTTAATAACAAACAAAATTATTGAAACTCGCTGACCGACTTGCTTGCTAGCGCAGTATCGCTGACCCAGCACAATCAGACGAAAAGTGCGAAAAATATGTGCATATTCAATTTGCGGTATTAACCGCGGTTAAGTGGAACGTGTTTTGGATATTTTTGGGATGGACGCCCCAAAAATTGTGAGCGGAGTTTTGAAAAATGAGGTCGCCAAGGAAAACAATGGGAGTACGTGCTCGACACAGGAACCGGATGGAATGGTGACTATTGATCTGAATGCTGATAAGTTCCAGAAAAGCATCGAAGGTTAGTATAATATACTAAGTGACATATCAATCCGAGCACCCAGTTTAAATGGTTTTATTTTAATAAAATTTTGTATAAGTACTTAATGAAGCATAATAAGTAAATGATAAAAATTTCACAATGATTGCACTGCTTTAAAGCTCTTTGTCCTTTAATAATGTGTGGATGCACCCTGATGTGCTACGCATTCTCCAACGCGCCTAGGCATGCTTCTGATCAGGTGGTCAATGTCCTCCTCATTCCAGGAAACCACCAACTCCTCTCGAAGTGCTTCTAGAGTCTGAGGAGGACGTTGCAAATTGAGCAATCTCCTAGCCATCATATCCCACACGTGCTCAATTGGGGATAAGTCGGGAGATCTTGGTGGCCATGTTAACAATGTGACATCATTATGTTGAAAGAAGTCTATTGTGACTCTTGCAACATGTGGTCGGGCATTATCTTGTTGGAAAGTTGGATCTGCCAGGGTGTCAAGATAGGGTAAAAGATGGGGTTCTAGAACTTCGTGGATATAACGCTGCGCGTTCATGTTACCTCTGATGAAGATTAAAGGTGACCTGGAACCATAAGCTATAGCACCCGAAACCATAACTCCAACAGTGTGATGAACATGTCTTTCAACAAAAAACTATGGATTCCTCCCTTCACCACGTCGCCTTCTAACCCTGACACGACCATCGTGCATGCCTAAACAAAATCGAGACTCGTCACTAAAGACAATACTGTTCCATTCCTGATCCCAGAGTGACCGTTGTCTGCACCACTCAAGGCGATTACGTCGGTGTTCTCGAGTTAAAGGGAGGACCCAGTGTGGCCGGTATGAAAACAAGCCAAAACTTCTCATTTGTCGGTAAACACTTCGCATGCCAATAGGTCTTCCGTGTTCTGCAAACCATTCATTTGCAATGGACCTGGTAGTGGAGAAACGGTCCCTTAAGGTCAATCTTCACGGTCTGTTGTTCTACGGCGGCGTCCAGTGCCCCTTGCTCTTTGCGTACGGCTTTCTCGAAGCCATGCCTGACAACACCTAACCACAGTGTCTACACTTCTTTGCACTCTAACTGCAATTGCCCGAAAAGAAAGTCCAGCTTCCCGAAGTCCCACTATACGGCCCCTATCAAACTCACTAAGTTGACGAAATCGTACAGGTCTCCGTACTCTAGGCATCGTAACCGATCGTAAAGGATGTCAAGAACCAAAATCCGCCAACGTTGATTCTTTACTGCGGCTGAAATATTCATTTTTAGAGCGTTAGTGAATTAAAAAAAAACATTATAAAAACAGGAATGTCCAACTGATAAGGCTGAAAATTTTTTCACTTCTTATTTACAGTAAGATAAATACATTCACCAACTTTTATTAAAATAAAACCATTTAAACTGGGTGTTCGGATTTATATGTCACTTAGTATAGTTTGGTAAGCAGTATTATCAACATGCGTATCTTTCGACGTATTATACAGGGTGCCCGGTAAATAGTACAACAAAAAAAATGGGGAAGATAGGGAAAAGCAGATTGAAAGTTTTTTTTTGTCTTTTTCTGAAAATTTTCTCGGTTGATCCAGCTATTGTTGCTGATTAAGCTGGTAATTTATCGCAGTACTTTGTAGTAACAGTCTAGTAGTTTTTCATTTCATTGCTGAATACCAAAGTTGTGTAAAATAGTTTTCTGAAATAAAAATTACGAAGAAGAAATTGGTTTGTCAAGTTAACCTACTTGTATTTATCGAACATGATATTTTAAATGCAGACCAACCTTCTGAAAATATTTAGCAAAAAAATAAACAGATACCTATATTATAAATTATATATATATATTATATATAAATATTTCGAAAACAGTGAAACATTTACTAGGATCGTTTCTTTGATAGGTTGTAGATTAACCTTCTATTATTTTGTCGTACTATTTACCGGACACCCTGTACACAATAAGAGAGCAAGAAAGAAATCCAAATGTTTAAGTGAATTTTGACAGGTTGTATTTTGGGAAAAATGCTCGAATCTGGATTTGAGAAAAAAAATTTTGAGGCTTTACGATTCTAGCTTTTAGGTGCTCCAGCCGAAAAATTTTCGGAGCACCAGTTCTTATGTAATTCTAACAGATAGCGCAAGGAAAATGATTTGCACAATTTTTGCCTTCTTTTCAGTTTACGGGCTTGTACAAAGTTTTATTGTTAGGTCAGGTATGAATCAGATATCCGGCTCATTCACCTTCAATATATGGCGCGGAGAGGGCTTTCTCATCGACCACTGTTATTTTGGTAACCAGTGACCGCACGTAGGATAGATATTTTCGAATCTTGCAATAAGTCTGCTATAAGATTCGGTTGCAATCTTTGATGAAATAATTTTGTTCCCCTAACTTCAAGGAAGTCAAAAAAAGTTACTTTTTGCTTGTTTTGGAAAAGCGACCGCATTTTTTGGAACTGCTAATGAGAAGGGTAATGTTTTTAGGTTTCTCAAACCCCAATGTACCCCTAATAACCCTACACGACGGCAGATCGAGTCATTGTACGTTTTTTTCCGGACCAATTGGCCTAGATCTGAAATCCTGCAATCTGGTTGAAAATGAAAGAATTATTTTTCTTCCTTTGGTGCCAGTATTGCATCTGTAACATCTTCAATTTTAAAAATAGCAATTAGCAATATTTTATTGTTGTACCCGTGGATTACTCCAAAAAACAAAGGTACTACCCAGTGTTTCGTCAGACCATTTTCAAATTTTGACCACATCGAATCAGGCACCTTTCAAAGGGCTGCTGTAATTGGGAGACCTGCACAGTAAGAACAGTGAAGATGGAGGAAGCAGTTTTACATGAAGTTGAGTGTAGCCCCGACAGGCAGAATTGCAGAGCAATTATTACATCTGTCACTTTACTGTATGGCAGGCTTTAATTGAATATCGACAGCATCCTTACCATGTCAGCGTAGTACCTCGCCAACTATTGAATGTAACTTTTGGGTGGTGGTTCGTGTGCGCAGATCCACAGTCATGACCACACAGGTCACCGGATATAAATCCGTTAGATTTTTTTCCTTGGGGGCATTTAAAGTCCCCCGTTTACAAAATTCCAGTCAACACTGAAGAAGAACTAACCCAACGGATACGAGATTCATGTGATCAGATATGACATACGCCGGGAACATCTCAACGAGTTCGGCAGTCAATCTTAAGACAAGCTAATGCTTGCATTGAGGAGGACATTTTTACAAGCTGTTATAAGACTCGTGTTACTTACTGTTAAATATTTTCAATGAAATAAAAGCTGAAATATAGTTTTAAAAAGACGTTTTTCTGGTTAGACTTTTTTATTTCCAACGTTACCAGTGTGGAACGCCACTGGAAAAGCATAAATAACGTTACGTAAATATTTTGTAAATCTATACGTTTTATCGAAAGCAGGTATAATCTGAGCAAAAAAAATCAAGAGACCACTTTTGTGTAACTTAGTTATCAATAGCATGCAATAAAGTGCTTTTAATTTTTTATCTCATCTATTCTCAAGAATGTTTGTCTAATTGCGCCTAGCCGCCTTGAGCCATTTCATAAACAAAATGCACGCCAGTCATTTCTGTGTAAAGTGAATCATTTTCCAATATTATATATATATACAGGGTGTTTCAGTTTATTGTTGTATAACTTTAAGATTCGATAGAACTTTTAAAATTAATGCATAAAGTCTATATAAACATGGGTCGAAAAATGCGTGGCTTCCGAAATACTTACTTTCTAAAATAGTTTTTTTTTAATAATTCGAACAATATTTGATGTATAACAGTGAAAATTGGTATACAAGGGTTTTCTGGTACGACAAAACGAACCATGGGCATAGTTTTACTGTAGCCGCTAGAGGGCGCTCTCTACTGTACCTGAAGTGTATTAAAAAATTTCTTAGTGCAATTTTTTGCTTTTTGAATAAAAAAACTGATTCTTCGCACTTTTCAACATAAAAAAGCTCTGCTGTAAGTTTTCGTTATAGTTAGCCGTTTTTGAGATATTTCGATTTTTAAGGTTCGATGCATTTTTAATTATTTATGGGAAAATAATATTTTTTTTACATTTTCGATTTGGGCATTACAAGTAATTAAGATGATCGTTTAGATTGTGTTTTTAACCACTGCAATAATTCCTAACTCCAAATAAACACAAAAAACAGAATATTAATTTGTTTAATTTTCCAATATTATTTTTAACATTAAATTAATTATTTACAACTAAAATGCTATTGGATAGTTAGGAAAAACATACAAAATCTAAAGTAGTTGCTCGAAATGTAAACCCAATTGTTCAATACACAATTCACATCTACGAATGATCGAACGTGGTATAGCATTATTCAAATAAGGCCTTATTTCATCACATGCATTCCTGATTCTGTCTATTAGCATATCTCTTGTGGTTACGGGAGTCTGGTACACTTTTTCTTTTAGAAATCTCCACACAATGAAATCTAATGGATTTAGGTCAGGAGATCGTGGAGGCCAGGCGACTGGTCCTCCACGGCCGATCCATTCTTATGGATAATTTCCGTCCAGCCAGTTTCTAACTATTCTAGAATAATGAGCTGGACAACCATCAAGCTGGAACCAGGCCAATCTTCTTAAATCTAACATAACAGCATCCCACATATTTGCATGTTCAGCCTTTAAAAATTCCAAGAAGGTCGCAGCATTTAACCTTGCAGGCAAAAGGTAGGGTCCAAATAGTCGATTACGGTAGATACCAATCCACACGTTCACACTAAATTCATGCTGAAAATTTCTTTCCCGAACTGCATGCGGATTTTCATGGGACCAAATATGTTGATTATGAAAATTTACCACTCCACGTCTAGTGAAGCATGACTCATAGGTCCATAAAACGTTACTTAAAAACTCCCTATTATTATCAGTTCTATCAAGAATCCACTGACAAAATGTGATTCTTCGTTCTCCGTCCCCTGGCTGTAGTCCTTGCACAGGTTGCAAATGGTAAGGACGTCTATGGTCATTTCTAAGAACACGGTGAACATGGCTTGCTGAGATTTCCAAAGCACCAGAAACTCTCCTAACACTTGTGGTCGGATCTCTATCAAACTCACGCAGAATCATACGGGTAAATCTGCGCTGACGAACATTTATGTTTTGATCCCTTTGGAGATTTCCAAAGCCATTTTCAATTATTTGGCGATGCACTCTTACAAATACTAAGCGAGTTGGATGTCGTCTGTTTGGAAATCTTCGTGCGTATTCTCTGGCTGCTTCTGCTGCGTTTCCATTTACAAAGCGATACACAAAACGAATATCCGTTAACTCTTGATTGGAGAATAAAAATGGCATTTTTATAAAACTTACAAAAAAAACAGGTAAAAGAAACTAAATTTCGTGCATTCACAATTGCAAAAAAACGTTTCAGGTTTCAACAGACAACAAAACTAACTGTCAACTAATTGACGTTAAACCTTATTCTGCTTTCAATTTCAAAAATATTTGCAGGCACAGCCTACTTCTAAAAATTATCGAGAGACTTTTTAACGTTATTTAATCATAAATAATTAAAAATTCATCGAACCTTAAAAATAAAAATATCTCAAAAACGGCTAACTGTTACGAAAATTCACAAGAGAGCTATTTATGTTGAAAAGTGCGAAGAATCATTTTTTTGTTCGAAAAGCAAAAAGTTGCACTAGGAAAAATGTTTGGTCATTTTAATACACTACAGGTACAGTAGAGAGCGCCCTCTAGTGGCTACAGTAACACTATGCCCATTTTTCGTTTTGTCGTACCAAAAAACCCTTGTATACCAATTTTCACTGTTATACATCAAATATTGTTCGAAATATTTAAAAAAAACTATTTTAGAAAGTAAACTTAAACACCCTGTATTTCGGAAGCCACGCATTTTTCGACCCATGTTTATATAGGCTTTATGCATTAATTTTAAGAGTTCTATCGAATCTTAAAGTTATGCAACAATATACTGAAACACCCTGTATATATATACAGGGTGACTTTGAAGTTGAGTCATTAATTTTCAGATAATGATTGTAGAAGGAAGATAAACCAAAATATGTGTGTTAAAATAAAAAAAAAATAAAAAAAAATGTTTACCTTGTTTTATAAAGTATCCTCCCGACAAGTATTTCAGTGCGGACCTGTATTTGATCGTGAGGTCCCCTGTGAGGTCTTAAGTCACCTGATTCACAAGCCCGTTGTACTACATTAACAAAGGCACGAGGGGTTGGTTGCACTCGATTGGGAAACCGATCCGCATAAACATGTGCCATTTTTTATTTCGTTTGAGCCACGCAACACATACCACTATTCACCGACACTGACTGTATACAAATGAATGAGATACTTGTAAAAACACGACCACATAATATTGTTATTGAGACAGGGCGGTACTCAAACTTCCAAAGGGCTATAACTTTGTTACTTTAATTTTACCAGGAAAATGGTAAAGGAAAAAAACATTTCTTTTGATCAGATCTACTCACTGTTAAAATAAATGACTCAACTTCAAAGTCACCCTGTATATATATATATATCATAGCTTAAGACTCTTACGATCATTATTTACGCACTATTACGTTATTTTATGTCATTTTGTTTTATCGAAATTAGTTTTAAATATGTGCGAAAAAAATTAAGAGATGACTATCGTCTAATGTTAATTGCCTAATGAGTTTGGTGGTTTTAATGTTTTATAACGTTATTGTCCTAGGGACATGCAATAAAGTGCTCTTTGTTTTTTCTCTCGCAAACGAGGCGAGATATGAAAGAAACCATAACAAATGGGTTGTATTTTTAGCTACTTAGAAAATTGAAAAAAGGTCAGTGATTTTTTATCAAAGATATTGTTTAGAGTGTTTCCGGGGCGCCACTAGACTTAATAATTTCAATGTAATTGGCGCTGAGTTAGCCCCTTACTGCCTTTAGTACCGCTGATAAATTTAAACAAAATCGACTGAAAGTTTATCAGGTTATTTAGGAAAAGCCGATTTTTAAAAAAAGTTTGCCACCCTGTATCTTGAAAATAAATCGTTTCTGGACCTATGTTTATATAAACTTTTCATCTTAAAATTACTCAAAGAATCGCCTCCTTTAGCCAGGCACTTGTATAATTATTTCTGTATTCACATTGTTTTTATTATTTATTTTTGATCTCAATTCGTAGTCGCTATCATTATTGGAGGCTTAACTGGGCCAGAAACCGTGGTTAACCTTCGCCCGTTTATAACTTATTATTAGTTATAAATAGATAATTTTATTATGATTATTTTATATTTTCGTCATATTCCGTGGTATCTACGGTATCAGTGGGTAACGTTGCTAAAAAAAAGGATTTGGATAAATTTCAAACCCTTAGAGCCTACAAAGTATAAACGGACGAAAAAAGAATTTGGGATTTCAGGAAATTAAAAGAACAAACTAGAAGAGGTATTAGAGGAATCTTGGATTTATTTGCAGTTTTACTAATAACTTTATTATGAAAATGTTATATGTGTTTTTCTAGGCACAATGACGTAAAAATTTCAAGCATACTTTTATTATGAATAGAAGGTGATTAAAATTTTAACTTTTTTACATAATATATCGATGCAGCGGCTATGATGATGATGATGATTTCGTTAATACGATTTTTGAAGGTTAGTAGAACTGGGAAAAGCTTCCTCTTGTAGATTGTTTCACAATCGGGACAAAGGAACGGTCGTATCGGCCAGTTCTGGATGTATGAAGTTCGACACGGTTAGGATGGGACGCCAAAGTCAGGCGGGTCTGTCTGGCAGGCACATCGCGCGGCGCCGTGATGGAGGAGCTCTGAGGATATTTATAAGACACTCTGGGAAAAGCTAGCGAGTGGTACCGCCTCGGTCGACTTGTCCCTGTCTACCGCCTTCTTTTTCGTGTTGATGACATCAAATAGACCTAAACTGGCCCCTTGGCGGACTTCTACCGCCACCCGGCAATCGGTACTGAGATATTCCTTATCGCGAGTACAATCACTTGAACGGGAAGAACTTGCATACTGGATACAACAACTTCCAGAATAAGCATTTGCTACGGCCCCGCTCAGTAAGGTGCCTGGGTAACATTGTCAAAAAAAGGAATTTGAGTGAATTCCAAACCTCTGTAACCTACCAGATGTTTCGAAGTCCACCCTTAAGTGGACAGAATGGTGAGAAACGTACAAAAATAAAATTTGGCATTTTAGAAAATTAGGGGAGCAAACTAAAGGAATATTGATGGAGTTTTAGATTTATTTACAGTTTTACTAGTAGCTTCATATGAGAATGTTATAATATTTGTTTTCCGAGATATAATATATCCAAGAAGTTTGGAAATAGATTCTGCAGCGGTCCATTTTTGTAATGTTTCAGAAAGTGCTTTGTACGAAGTTTAATTTTCTGTGAAAAGGTGTCAAAACTTTCCTTTACAAAAACTGTATAGTCTTCTGTACTAAGCAGTGATCTATTGTATTTCTAAAATTTTGGCTTATAACAAGTTTGTTAACTTGAAGTTGCGAATTGTTTTCCATGAAATATGTTATATTTTTTCTGAAATAAAAAATATTTTTCCAAACAAGCACTTGTTCACATTAACCTTATGAGTCATCAGGATATCCTTTCATATGCCCAAATTCCTTGTCTGTATCTCAAAACATAATAAAGCTAATGATGCTGAATTGGAATTTTTAGATCTCAAGAAAACCGTTGAATCAGAACCAAAAAAGGTGAAATACAAGCTACAGTTAGTATACACAGCTGCTATATATCTGATGCTTTTGAGCGTTATAGTGCTTGGGATCGTCATATTTGTGAGTCAAAGTAAGTAATTTTATTTATCACGTTATTTGTCTTAAACGTTCAGAAATATGTTTTGGTTTTGTGCCACAGGAGCAAAAAATACAGAACAATTGTTACTTGAACGATTCTATTAAATACCTACTGAGATGGAAGAAAAAAGCACAAAACTGTTGTATGATTTTCTTTAATTACATCAAAAATACCATCCAGAAATGTTTGTAACATAAACAGACATTTGACGTAGGTAAATGCTTTTTTGAGCTTTATTAAAGCCTTAGGTGATTAAGGTAGATCAGATTCTGTTTTTTTCTTACGTTTGAAGTAGAGTTTAGTTACGACTATTTTAACTCATCCACATCAAAACAATGCACGTAATATATCAGATAAAGTACTAGATCTCGTATTTCAGGAATAGATATATTCAAAACAAGAAGAGCGAAAGCTGTAAATGAAGTGAAAACCAGCATTGCAAACTATCAGTCAAAAGGGCAAACAGATACGTTGTTGGATTGTTTAGTCAACGAATCTTTCGAAAAATGTTGCAACGAGTTTTTGATCAGCACACCAGAGTTGATAAGTTATTGTCGTTCAGACCACGGCATCAATGACTTAGTTGTAACAATGCTAGAGGCCAACTTGCAGCGTCGAAGAAGACACATACCTCCAGCTGCACTAGACTCAATTGGAAAGCATATTCCAGAAGACTTTGATAGATATTTACAATACGAATATCAAAATGACTACGATACACATGACACTAGTGTTCGTGATTACATGGATTCAGCTCATCATGATGATATCGCAAGGATGGATCATCAAAGCAGTTATGAAGGTCACATGGATCAACATGCAAATGTCGACATGCTAGGCACCCAGAATCAACACAATTTTGCAGATGATTACGACTATCCAAACCCAGGTCTTCCCTTTCAAAGCGAGTTAGGCAGGGTGATACATCAACTTCCTCTAGAAGCAATCCATGGGGATCACCAATACGATCCAATAAATCATTTTACTGGAAACATTTTCGATGATCAAGGCAATCACCAACGTGGAGACATTGACCCAACACTTTACAATGATCACAGCTTCGTAGACCATCAGGTATACCTCAATCCAGACAGAACTGATGATATTATGAGGACAAATGCACAAATGGTGCCAGAGGCCACAGTCCAAAATCAGCACAATGTAAATTTTATAGAAAACAATTTTGACCTTCAAACAGATCATTTAAATATCCCAAGAATGGGCCAACAAAACTTCGAAGGCAGTCACGAAACTTCTCCAGTTTCAAGAATTTCAGACAATCAGGAGGATTTCAGTAGTCATCTCTTATCTACCAAGACGTCTAGCCACATTAATACACACGCTTTATCACACGCAAGCAGTGCGACACAAGAACATGACAACACAGAATTGCACGTTGGACCAAATCTTCCACAGCCACACCAATCGATAGACCATATCAAAAGTCAAGTTCACAGAATCCTAAGTGTTGAACCCAAGCACGAGGATCACCATGATGGCTTATCGCCTAATGAGCCAATTTCACGAAGCGGCAATCCACCCAATCAGATGCAATTCAGAAGATATCCTTCACAAGGCCACCAGTCATTAAGTCGTAATCCAGAAGATGACTCTATAGATCCTATATTTGGCAGGTTGCCATCAGACGAAGTGACAGATCCTCCTATATCTTCAAGTCCCATTCCAAATACGTTCATCACTCCAGATGATGTAACCAAAGTATTGGACCTGGATCTTAGTAAAGTAAATAATAGTACCAATATGAGACTTAGCAATGTAACACTAGCTACCAATCGGAATCTAAACCTAGAGGATGACTTTAGCGATGATACTTTAGTTGGCAGGTTACCATCAGATGCAGTAACAGATCCTCCTAAATCTTCAAGTCCCATTCCAAATACAGTCATCACTCCAGATGATGTAACCAAAGTATTGGACCTGGATCTTAGTAAAGTAAATAATAGTACCAATATGAGACTTAACAATGTGGCTCTAGCCACCAATCGGAATCTCAACCTAGAGGGTGATACTATAGTCGGCAGGTTGCCATCGGACGAAGTATCAGATCCTCCTAAGTCTTCAAGTCCCATTCCAAATACAGTCATCACTCCAGATCATGTAACCAAAGTGGTGGACCTGGATCTCAGTAAAGTAAATAATAGTACCAATATGAGACTTAACAATGTGGCTCTAGCCACCAATCGGAATCTGAACCTAGAGGATGATACTATAGTCGGCAGGTTGCCATCGGACGAAGTATCAGATCCTCCTAAGTCTTCAAGTCCCATTCCAAATACAGACATCACTCCAGATGATGTAACCAAAGTGGTGGACCTGGTTCTTAGTAAAGTAAATAATAGTACCAATATGAGACTTAGCAATGTAACACTAGCTACCAATCGGAATCTGAACCTAGAGGATGACTTTGCAGATGATACTATACTCGGCAGATTGCCATCAGATGAGGTAACAGATCCTCCTAAACCTTCACGACCCATTACAAATACCTTCATCGCACCAGCGGATGTTGTAAGCAGAATATTGGATATGACTACAAAATCAACGCCTCCGAATAAATTCAAGAGTTCTACTACTATTCCAAATGATGCGAATGACGATTTCCCTAATAGGAGGAGAATAAATGTTAGTAAAGTGAGTAACGGTACGAATGCAGCACTAGCCTCTAGTCAGAATATGAACCTAGAAGATGACCTAACAGATGATACAATAGTTGGTAGGTTGCCATCAGATGAAGTAACAGATCCTTCAACTGCACCCAAACCTTCAAGTCCCACTCCAAATACGTTTATCACTACATATGACGTAACCAAAGTATTGGAACTGACTACAAGGACAACGCTCTTGGGCCAAACCGTTACTCCAATTGATGAAAGTGGTAATTCTCCTACAAGCAAGATTTTAGATGTTAGTAAAGTAAATAATAGTACCAATATGAGGCTTGGCAATATAGCACTAGTCAGTGATCGGAATATGAACCTAGATGATGACTTTACAGATGATACAATACTCGGCAGGTTGCCATCAGACGAGGTAACAGATCCTCCAAAATCTTCAAGTCCCATACCAAATACCTTCAACCTATCAGACCATATTATAAACAGAATTCTGGACCTAACTACGAAAGCAACGCTTTTAAATGAAACCGTGGGGTCTACTATAATTCCAGATGATCGAACTGATAATACTCCGAAAAGAAGGAAAGTAAACACTAGTAAAGTAAGCAATACTACGGATATGAGACTAGTCAATAATCAGAATATGGTCTCACAAAAAGGATTGGCTCCTCAAGATATGGGTGAACCCTGGAAACCAACAGATCCAAGGAACAGGCTAAACGAAGAAGATAATCGTCAGAAACCGAAACTAGACTTTTCAGCTACAACCGATTTCCAGTCCAACCAACAAGTAATGGTCAACCCCTGCTTCCTCCAATACATGGCACAGCAAATGAAACAGCCTCTCCCATCGGATGGAAGTCAACTTCTGCGGATAGTTCCAATGAACCAACCAAGGATGCCTCCGCAGTACATTCTCAATCCTTCAATGTACCCGTACATGGGGCAGCCTCCATATATGCCGTTCGCTCTTCCACCGCAATACATGAACCCACTACAAGCAGCTCCAGCTCAGCAGCAAAGCACTCCAGTGCAAGTTGCTGGTCCAGGAGGACAGTACTATCTGTGCAACCCAATTCCGGCACCGATCGGCAACATTGCTTCTATGTCAGGAATTGAAGTGCGTAGGACAGCGTCTAACTTACAGGATTTGTTGAGGAACTTCAAGCCAAAGGTTGGGATAAGGTGAGTAGCGGTTACTTAGATATTTTTAGTCTTTGTTGAAGCTTTACCCTTGGTTCCCTCGTTACAACCTGTTATGTTACAGCCTGCATTTATCGAAAGTCTTGTTTGGAATTGTTTGGGTCTAAGGGACATTCCCAAAAAACGGGAATTTCATCAAGCTCTTTTGGACGAAAGTGTAGTCCTTGCTGCAGGAAACGTTACTTAATCCGGGAGATCGTCTAGCTTTCCCGAATTACGATGTTATAGATTGTCTGGACGAGGTGGCAGCTTGGCAGTACTAGTGAAACGCGGTATTGACTACCACGGAAGCACAAACGCTGAGATGCAGAACATCGAAGCGGCTTCCGTGGTGGTCAATATGACGGGAGGTGTGCCGTTAAAAATCAGATCGATGTATGTCAGGTGTGGTATCAGGCTGCAAGAGGCGGATCTGGAAGTCTTTCTAGACTGCTCGGGTCCACTTATTGTAGCAGGGGACTTCAACTGCAAACATCGAGCATGGCATTCTAGGTTGAATTACACCAGTGGGATCCGACTGTACAAACATGTGATACGAAATGGCTACCTCATACAAAGTACTGCCGACGCACTACCCATTTAATCACCTTGATTTTGCAATATCCAAAAACTGTAGGTACAATATCACTTCTCGAATCATGTGCGAACATCTTCCCGTCGTTTTGGAAGTGGGTAATGAGCAGACCTTGGATGATGAAACCCCTCCAAGGAGACGAATTGATTTTGAGCTATACAAGTCGCTCCTCAGTGAGTTCCCCAATATTCCGATCATAGATGATGGTATAGATGCAACTGAAGCGGAGTGGACAAATTTTGTTCAGCAATATCTGCAGCGTGCAGCTGTACTTACCGTGCAACGACATGGCAGACCTTTTCTGCCAGCAGACATTCGTCACAAAATTTCTGATAAAAGCCCTGCAATTAAGCAAGCGAAAAGGTCTTGTCATCCCGATGACGTTCGCAGAGCGACGAATCTTGTTCATGAAGTAAGAAATGCTCTTCATGAGTTCTGCAATGAGCAATGGAACGATTTTTTGGCGGGGATGCTTGACTCAAGCATTCCTCTCTGGAAGATGGCGGAGTCGCGTGAACAAATCCCGCACACCGACGGTCTTCAGGGCAGAGGCAAAGGTTGAGGTTTTCGCCGATGCCATGGAAAGACAGTTCTCTCACAACTAAGATTTTGATAAATACCTCGATGAGGAGCAACACATCGTAAGGTCTGTCAGGAGATATTTTAGGGCCAAGAGCGTTAGTGACAGTCGCGCACCGTTGGTGATCTTTATTCATCACAAAATTCTTCTTCAGAAGCTTCTTCAACCAAAGATCTGCTTAGTACATCAGCGGAATCTCCCGAGATCCCGCATTGCACACCAGCAGAGATTGAAGGTCATATTAAAGACCTTAGAGTGCGTAAAGCACTTGGTGAGGATCAAATCACTAATAAGGCGCTGAAGCTGCTTTCGCGGAAGTCCTTAACTTATCTCGTGGCGATAGTCAATGCCATGCTAAGGACCCAGTACTTCCCATCCGCGTGGAAGACCGCTGACGTTATGATTCCAAAGAAGGTGGGTTCGATATTTCCCCAGAATTATCATCCCATTAACCAGCTGACAGCTCCGTCTAAGTTACTACGTCACCTTGAGAATTTCTCGTCAGATCACCAATGTGATTCCTGACGTGCAATTCGGTTTTCGGTCTGATCATAGTACGGAGCTACAGGCGGTTAGGCTGGTGGAACGAGTAATCACAGGATTCACCCTTAACGAAAGTACTGGCATTTTGCTTTTGGATGTCTCAACGGCATTTGAGAAGGTGTGGCACGAGGGCCTCCTGTATAAACTAATCCAAAAGATCTTCCCTTTCTGGCTTCTAAAACTACTAAAATCCTTCCTTGAAAGTAGGAAATTTCGGATCAGAATTGACAATGTCCTGTCGACAACACAGCTGATTACAGCCGGCGTCCGTCAGGGTTCTGTCCTTGGACCTATCCTTTACTCACTGTACATCCATGACATCCCTAGCTCCAGTAACTGTGAAGTCTATCTCTATGCTGACGATACTGCATTGGTGGCTCAGTCGTGGTCTGGTGACCTAGTCCACGACAGGCTGGAAAGTGCAGTGGAGGAAGTATTAGATTGGGCAGATCGGTGGCTAATTAAAATTAACCATTCGAAAACGTAGGCAATATACTGTACAAAAAGACGTCGCGGCGTTCCGTCTCAAGTTTCAATGAATGGACTTCGTATACCTTAGGAATCCTCCCTGCTAAGAATCTCGGTGTCATTCTAGACAAAGGGATGACTTGGCGGAATCATATAGAAACGTTAAAAACTAAATTCCAAATTACGTTACGACAGCTTTACCCATTATTATGTAAACATTCAAAATTAAGTTTGATTAACAAGATTCGACTCTATAAGGTGCTGATAAGACCAGCAACGACTTACGCATGTGCGGCTTGGTGCTTTATTGCCAAAACACACATGCGAAATCTGCAAGTTCTGCAAAGCATGACGTTGCGCACTATTGCTGACGCCCTATTGTATATCTCTAACGAAACTCTTCATAGAGAGCTCGATGTCCCTTACATAAAGGACTACATTAAGCAACAGGTGCAGCGGCTCTATAGCCTAGCGGAATCGCACAGCAACTCTCTGTTGCGCGAGTCAGTGGACTACACAGTCTCTAAAGCTTCACAATAGTTTTTTTGTCAATTCTTCGGATTATCAGAACAAAATAACCTTCTGTCTTTAGTCTTAGCGCGCAAAACTACTGCTAACAGAGGACTCTTTGACCATAATAAAAGAAACGCGAAGTTGCCCAAATTTTGATTTGAAGTGTTTACTTCTGGTTTATCACCTTAAGTTTATTTGAATTTCAAATTTGTTTTTTTCATCAAAAAATACAGAAAATGTCCTGTATAAAACGCTTGTTTTACACCTGTTCAAATAGGCCCAATATGAACATGCTTTACGTGAAATGCCCCTAATGCTGTCGACTTCAAGTCCTTAATTCCAAACTGCATATTTGAAGATAGAAATACGATGACGGTTGTCGAACAACATCTTTCATTTACTTTGTTCTATTTCTATTTCTTTCTAGCAACCAAACCCGCGAGTCTTCAATTATTTGCCCAGATCAACAATTCACTTGCATGGATCAAAACAAATGCATCCCAATGTATCAGCGATGTGACAGCGAAGTGCACTGTGACGACGCTAGCGACGAAGTAGGATGCTCCTGCAAAGATAGGGTGGGCGTTTACAGGTTGTGCGATGGATTTTTCGATTGCCCAAATGGAGAAGATGAACTTGGATGCTTTGGTAAGGTTCATTTATTCATCATTATCTGAACCTGAAGTCTCCTAGTTGACTATGGCCCAAACTGAGTCTCTGTAGTGGAGATCAGGTTTAAGTATCTCACTTGATGCTAAATTTTATAGTACCTATATGTAGGTACCTCATATTTGTTAGCGTCGCGTCAAGAATAGTATCCACATCTATAAGTTAGAATAGTCGTTCTAATACCATTTGGAAGGGCAACTACAAAGGAGTCGTTCGAGATTTCAAAGAAAAGGGTTGCGAAGTATTTAGGGAACCATCCTAGACGGAGTGTCTCAAATTTAAGGTTGGGCGAAACAGGAGGTACATTTAATAAATTAATGCATAAAGTCTATATAAACATGAGTCGAAAAATGCGTGGCTTCCGAAATACAGAGTGTTTAAATTTACTTTCTAAAATAGTCTTTTTTTTTAAATATTTCGAACAATATTTGAGGTATAACAGTGAAAATTGGTATACAAGGGTTCTTTGGTACGACAAAACGAACCATGGGCATAGTTTTACTGTAGCCGCTAGAGGGCGCTCTCTACTGTACCTGTAGTGTATTAAAACGACCGAAAAAATGTTCTTAGTGTAATTTTTTGCTTTTTGAATAAAAAAACTGATTCTTTGCACTTTCCTGCATAAAAAAACTCTCTTGTGAGTTTTCGTTATAGTTAGCCGTTTTTGAGATATTTCGATTTTTAAGGTTCGATGCATTTTTAATTGTTTATGGGAAAATATCGTAAATGATCGTTTAGATTGTGTTTTTAAACACAGCAATAATTCCTAACTCCAAATAGACACAAAAAAACAGAATACTAATTTGTTTAATTTTCCAATATTATTTTTAACAAATTAAATTAATTATTTACAACTAAAATCCTATTGGATAGTTAGGACAAACATACAACTAAAGTAGTTGCTCGAAATGTAAATTTTTCAATACACAATTCACATCTACGAATGATCGAACGTGGTATAGCATTATTCAAATAAGGCCTTATTTCATCACATGCATTCCTGATTCTGTCTATTAGCATATCTCTTGTGGTTACGGGAGTCTGGTACACTTTTTCTTTTAGAAATCCCCACACAAAGAAATCTAATGGATTTAGGTCAGGGGATCGTGGAGGCCAGGCGACTGGTCCTCCACGGCCGAACCATCTTTCTGGATAACTTTCGTCCAGCCAGTTTCTAACTATTCTCGAATAATGAGCTGGACAACCATCAAGCTGGAACCAGGCCAATCTAACATAACATCATTCCACATATTTGCATGTTCAGCCTTTAAAAATTCCAAGAAGGTCGTAGCATTTAACCTTGCAGGCAAAAGTAGGGTCCAAATAGTCGATTACGGTAGATACCAATCCACACGTTTACACTAAATTCATGCTGAAAATTTCTTTCCCGAACTGCATGCGGATTTTCATGCGACGAAATATGTTGATTATGAAAATTTACCACTCCACGTCTAGTGAAGCATGACTCATCGGTCCATAAAACGTTACCTAAAAACTCCCTATTATTATCAGTTCTATCAAGAATCCACTGACAAAATGTGATTCTTCGTTCTCCGTCCCCTGGCGGTAGTCCTTGCACAGGTTGCAAATGGTAAGGAAGTCTATGGTCATTTCTAAGAACACGGTGAACATGGCTTGCTGAAATTTCCAAGGCACCAGAAACTTTCCTAACACTTGTGGTCGGATCTCTATCAAACTCACGCAGAATCATACGGGTATCTCTGCGCTGACGAACATTTATGTTTTGAGCCCTTTGGAGATTTCCAAAACCATTTTCAATTATTTGGCGATGCACTCTTACAAATACTGAGCGAGTTGGATGTCGTCTGTTTGGAAATCTTTGTGCGTATTCTCTGGCTGCTTCCGCTGCGTTTCCATTTACAAAGCCCATACACAAACTGAATATCCGCTAACTCTTGATTGGAGAATAGAAATGGCATTTTTATAAAACTTACAAAAAAAAACAGGTAAAAGAAACTAAATTTCGTGCATTCACAATTGCAAAAAAACGTTTCAGGTTTCAACAGACAACAGAACTAACTGTCAACTAATTGACGTTTAACCTTATTCTGCTTTCAATTTCAAAAATATTTGCAGGCACAGCCTACTTCTAAAAATTATCGAGATACTGACTTTTTAACGTTATTTTATCATAAATAGTTAAAAATGCATCGAACCTTAAAAATCGAAATATCTCAAAAACGGCTAACTATAACGAAAATTCACAAGAGAGCTTTTTTATGTTGAAAAGTGCGAAGAATCAGTTTTTTTATTCAAAAAGCAAAAAATTGCACTAAGAAAAAATGGTCGGTCATTTTAATACACTACAGGTACAGTAGAGAGCGCCCTCTAGCGGCTACAGTAAAACTATGGTTCGTTTTGTCGTACCAAAAAACCCTTGTATACCAATTTTCACTGTTATACATCAAATATTGTTAGAAATATTTAAAAAAAAACTATTTTAGAAAGTAAATTTAAACACCCTGTATTTCGGAAGCCACGCATTTTTCGACCCATGTTTATATAGACTTTATGCATTAATTTTAAAAGTTACATCGCATCTTAAAGTTATGCAACAATAAACTGAAACACCCTTTATATGTGTAGATGGAAGAACAGTTAAGTCGTCATTTACAAAAGCATCGCAGAACGCTAAAGTGGTACGTACTCTTAATATCCAAGAATTGTCAACATACGTAATAAATTCCTGAAAATATACAGGGTGTTCCTTAATGATATGCGAATATTTAAGGGTCTGAATCTACATGAAAAATTAGTATTAGTTTGCTTTATAAACTATAGTCCAAATATGTTTCCTTACAAAAACTAGGGGCGTTGAAGTTTTAGGAAAAAAATTTAAATCAATTAATATTTTCAAAACCTCTTCAGATATTTCACTGATATTTAGCACGTAGTGAAGGTTAATAAAGTTGCATATTTTTGAATGCAAAAATAATTTTTAGCTTTAACAGTGGCGTGCGTACGGGTATTGACTTCGATATTTTTTAAGAAAAAAATGGTACGTCAAATAAATTTAAAACAAATGATCCCCGTTCTGTTGTCCGAGAAAATTAATGTAATAATTGAAGAATGCAATTTAGCAATAAATATCTAGTTGCTCTGGAATATGTCACTGGCTTTTGACATCTGACAAGTCTCTGTTATTCAAACCTGTTCGCTGCGATATCTTTTTCATTATTTAGTTTTTACAATCTTGTTAATAATGGTGAATTAATTATTCAAATGCAGACATGGGGGAAATGCATTACGTATGTGGCCTTGCCGAGAGTAATGGTGAGCAAGCCAGACGGATTTATCACCAGAGATATCCCGATCGTGCTTTGCCAGATAGTCGAACCTTTTTTAATGTTCATCGTCGTCTTGTTGAAATTGGTTCTGTCCGAAAAGGAGCATCTGAAGGTAGACCTCTAAGTGTGAGAACCCCTGAAATTAAGGACGCAGTACTGCACGAAGTCTAAGAACATCCTGAAACGAGTACGAGGAAGATCACTACACACTTAAATATTTGCGATCAAATTGTTTGGAGAATTTTAGTGGATTTTTTGTTATATCCTTACCATATTTTAAGAGTACAGGCATTACTTTCCATTGATTTTCCAAGGCGTGTGACGTTTTGTCAACTTTATTAACTTTCACTATGTACTAAATATCAGAGAAATATCTGAAACGGTTCTGAAAATATTAATTGATTTCCATTTATTTTCCTAAAACTTCGACACCCCGAGTTTTTGTAAGGAAACATTTTTGGACCGTATAAAAAATACAACTACACTACACTATACCTTTTATATATAACTTTTCCTTTTGGAAGGTCATACAAAACAGTTACAAGGAGATCAATTCATAGCCGGACATGTAAATGAATCAACCTACTTACTTCCACAGTTTTCTATTAGGTTCGAATTCAATTGTTGAAAAAAATCCATCGATTCCCAAAATTGTGTGGCTATATACAACGTCACTGTTCAGGACTATCGGAAATTCAATGAAGGAAAGAAGGTATATTATAAATTTGAACCTGAACGATGGTTGGCGGCATACGCGTCGATTTACAGCTTGACGCTGCAAACGGCGGTGCACGCAACTACTATCGGCAGTCGCTTCTTATAGCTCCTGGGTACCAATGCTGTACTAGCGCCAATCCGTCGCAGTTACTCAAAAATTGCACAAGCCACAATAAATGCACACTGAAGATCAAACGCCATCACAAGAGCTGCAATACATTCAACATTTTTTTTGCTCCACCAAAGATTAAATCTTTGTAATCCAATGCTTTCAAAACAATTTATAGGTTGTTCAGAGCACGAGTTCAGTTGTGATGATTGGTCAAAGTTTAGAAAGAGCACTTGCATCCCAATTTGGCAACGTTGCGACAACATTCGACAATGCGAGATGACTGGGAGAGATGAGGAAGATTGCTCCATACTGAGTGACAACGTTGGAGACCAACCCTTGTTAAAAATCTCGAATACAGTGGGATTTTTGCATAGAAACTGGAAGGGAAAATGGTATCCAACGTGTTTTGGTTTCGAAAAATGGGCTACAGATGCATGTAAAATTGAGGCTGGACCAAGTATAATGTAAGTATCCGAAATACTCAACAATCTTCTCCTTGGGTAGGAGTTTAAGGCTTTAGGATTAATAATAATAATAATAACATTTATTCACTCAATGTACAAAGATAACAAACAATATGAGTCAATAAATACAAAATCAAAACAGGCCCAATAGAAGGCATCGCCTGTACATGGACCAATAATTTAAGTTGAAACTGTAGAATGCAAATGACAAAAAAGGACAAAAATTAGCTATAGTAGATTATGTATTTAGTTGATGTTCGTATTTATGAGTTTATGAATTTCAGTCCTAGATATAGAATGTAGCCACTTTTTTAAATTTCTTTTGAAACAATTTCCGAAACGTAAATCTTTTAAGTCTTTAGGTATAATTTCATAAAATTTAGGCGCTAAATAGAGATATGATCGCTGCATTATAGATTTATGCGGTTGAGGAACTACTGTGCCACTAATTTTGTACCTGGTATAATGATTATGTTTAATTTTTTGGTCGGTGTTTGCAAATTTATGGTAGTGAGTGACACTGTGTAAGAAATATGTCTTATATCATAAATTCGAACATCTGCGTATAATTTTTCAGAGGGATAAAGTTTCGGTTTTTTAAATATCATTTTTAGAATACTTTTTTGAAAAACATCTAAATTATAGATATGTGAGGAACATGCAGCTCCCCATGCTAATATACCATATGTGAGATGAGGCTCAATCAGTGCATGGTATAATTTTCGAAGATATTTTTCTGTCAATATATTCCCGAGGTATTTAATTTTGTAGGAAACAAATCTAACTTTCTTTAAAATATAATTGACATGAATGTCCCATTGTAAGTGAGGATCCAAGACCACTCCAAGGTATTTTATGTTGGGCACTCTATTAATTTGCATTTCTTGATCATTAATATTGAAGGAGAAATTTGTGTAATTTGGCAGATGTCTAGCATAAGATCCAAATGGTAAAAAATGTGTTTTAGAGTAGTTAATGCTTAATTTTCTACTGTGAAACCACCGAATAATTTTGATAAAATCATTTTCAATTACATTTTTAGATCAGACCAGTCAGTGCCTTCATATAATATTGCAGTATCATCTGCAAAACTAGTTATTTTGCCAACACAATTAATTTGGAAAATATCATTTAAATATATATTGAATAACAGCGGACCTAAGACAGTTCCTTGTGGGACACCACACTTAATATACATTTCTTTACTAAATGATCCTGATATCTGTACAGATTGTGGGCGATTTGACAAATAACTTTCGATCAGTGAGTACGCGTTTCCTCTGAAACCAATTCTCTCCAATGCTTCTAATAATAATTTGTGATTAACTGTGTCGAAAGCTTTCTTTGAATCAACAAAAATGCAGATTGAAGGGATTGGTGTATAAGTTCAGAGCACATTAGATAGTGCTTTGGTAGAAGGATTTTCAAGACTCTCTCTAAAAACTGCATAACCTCATATATTGGGATGACTCCTCATTAACGTTTCAGACACGTAGCCTTCCTTAAAGTGTAAATAAAAATGATGACTCTTGCTATTTCTCATTAGTATACCACAACGTTCCAGGCAGGAGGCGCGAATATTTAATTTATATTCCGTAGTTAATATAATCTGTAAGTTCAATATATTGCGCTAACGCATGTTTCTGCTAAGTCTGAACGAAATCCACCATTTAGCTCCCAAAATAATCCATATAATATCGGCATTGGCTATTATCGGAAACCTAATATTTCCTCGTACTGCTGTATTTTCTGAAAATAATTACAGAGTTTTTTTAAAACCTCCACATCAAAAGAGGAAAATATACCATCCCGGATTTTGAGCATTTCACTTGGAAGTTGATTAATGCGTGACCTCCGTTATATTGACATTTTCCCGTATTTTTTTTATATTCCAACTACCACGAAGGCCTAAGGACTAAACACCCATGGGTACCATGGGAGTATAGGGGGATACAGGGGAAAGGGAGAACGCCACACGGACTCTGGCGAGGGAACACGTGTACACATGCACACATTCTGGGCCCAGCTACGAGATCCGCCGGGTAGTACCTCTGCGTTCGACAGTCAGAGACCGTCTACCACCTACGGACAATCACAACATCCATAGCCAAGAGAAAAATTTCTCTTGGGACGGGATTCGAACCCGCGCGGCGCACGGCGACTGATCAGGAGACCGAAAAGTCAACTACTGCAGCCACCGCTGCTGCCTAGATAGTATTACGAGCCCCTTCCCACTTCAGTTGGCCTAACTATTGAAATCTTAGTTTTTTCTTATCGAACACAAATAATAAAAATGTGGCAGGTTTAAAATCTTAACAATGAATGTTTTCATAATATATAGTAGAAAACACCAACTTCATCACTCCCTAATCAAATTTCCAGCATAAAAATAACACGTGTTGCAATTACAGCATATCAACCTATTTTCATTTCAATGCAAAATAAGTCTATAATGCATAGGTGACTGTGAAAAATAAAAGTCATGACAATTGTTTTTATTAATCACAGCTGTCAGATTACGTTTAAAATAGTTTTGGGTAGTTAAGGATTTCAAAATGGGTAGACGAAAGAGAAAATTCGGTTACTGATAATTAAATTTTTTAATTCTGGGAAATCAAACTCAGAAATTGTAACTTTGTTAGACTTATCGCAGTACAGTGTGAGAAATATTGTTAGAAGATATAACATAACTGGTTCAGTTAATATTAAGCCACGATATGTGAAAAAAGTAATATCATAAATGCCGACCGAAGAGCATTAAGAAAAATAATCGTGAAAAACAGGTGTGCCAATTATTTACAATTAAGTGCTCTGTGGAGTGACGCTGTTGGATGGAGAATTTCGAGGTCCACAAACTGGGATTTAACACTTGCAAGGTAAGTTTTCTTATAAAAAAGAGTGAAGTAAAAACCCTAAAGCTGCACAACTTGTTTATAGACCAAAGAAAAGCCACTATTAACTCCACTGCAAAAAAAAAATCGGCTTAGATGGGCTAAAGAACATAGACAATGGACACCTCAACAATGGTGTGCAATACAATGGAGTGATGGGGCCCAATTCGAAGTTTGTGTTGGTGACAGTCGCAGTAGAGTTATTCTCAAAAAAATGAAGCATTCCATGTTGACTTATGGTCTGGGGCAGTATGTCACCAAAAGGAGTAGGAAAACTTCATTTTATTAATGGAAATGTGGATACAAACAAATATTTGGCAAATTTAGGAGAATCGCTTTTACCAGTGATGGAAGAATGTTTGACATCCGGCCAAGATTTTGTGTTTCAGCAAGATGGTGCAGCCTGCCATACCTCAAAAAAGGCTATAAAGTGGATGGAAGAAAATAATGTACCACTTTTGAAATGGGGTTCTAGCAGTCCAGATCTGTCACCTATTGAAACTTTGTGGCACGAGATGAAAAAGGTTCTACGACAACATCCTGCTCGTACAATCACCGAACTGAGACAAAAGCTTCAAGAAATATGGGATTGTTTTACAACAAATTTTTGAAAAAACTTGGTTAACACGATGCCCCAAAGAATTTTAACCGTAATAAAAAGATAAAGGGGATGTTACCCAATGGTAATTTTTCAATTGTTGCTTCGTTAACTTCTCTAATTTATTCGCACATTGTTTATTTGTTCAGATGTTCTATTAGTTATACAGGTAGGTCTAAGTGATTTCAAATATGTATTTTTTACGACTAGAGTGCTAGAATGTTTTTGAGAAAATAAATTGTTTTAGAAGTAAATAGTTTCGTCATGTTAAGTTTATAAAGGCATATTTTGGTACAAATCTTGAAGTGGGCCAACTGAATTGGGAAGGAGCTCGTATTTTATTTCACAAACAAAAGCAATCCCATAAAATCTTAGAACGTGTTTTGACTATCTTTCAGGAAGCCACCCAAGAATTTTCAGGCGCTGTTATCTAGACGCAAAATTTAAACACCGCCAGGTTCTAGTAATACTACCAAACTATTACCACTAATATAATCTTTTCATAGTCGTTTATCGATTATGTCGATCATGAACTGTTTCTGTTTAAACTGTATAGGTATGGAATTCGCCCCCCCCCCCCCCCCTTGCAGCTATTTCAGTCATTTTATGATACACGAAAGCAATATGTATCTGTTAATGGGATGAAAAGCGAGACGAAGGTTTTGAATATAGGTGTCCCACAAGGAACTGCCCTTTGGCCTTTTCTATATTTATTGTATGCTAACGACCTCAATGCATTTCTCTTTAGTGTCTATTCTGCGTGTAAAGTGGAGTCAGATGCAGATGTCACTAATACAGGGTGTCCGCAAAGTTGGGGTTTTCCTTTTCAGAAACAACTACCCTTGAAATAACAAAGGTAATGTGTAGTGAAACGAGGGCGACCAAGTAAAAAAAAATAAAGGAAAAAGTACTCACTCTCCAGTTGACGAGAAGGGCTAAGTACGTCTCTGCCCGAAATCATACCGCTCCAACAGAAAATAAAATCAGCTGATGCGCTACCGAGCAGACGCAGGCAAACAAGGAGGGCAAAATGTTTCGTAAAAAGTCTAGGTATTGCGTCCCGTCCAATCGATTTGGGAGAATAAATGGTCCAATGAGCATACCGTTCACCATGCCAGCCTAAACATTCATCGAAAATGTTTGTTGAAAATGTGCCCGATGGACAGCGTGCGGATTTTCTACCGACCAAACATAAGTGTTGCGAAAGTTATTCACCCCATTACGCGTGAACGTAGATTCGTCTGTCACCATTATGCACTTCAAAAAGTCCGGATTATTGTCATGTTGATGCAACAACCACTCACAAAACCGCACTCTTGCTGGAAAATCGCCCGGTTGAAGGGCTTGTACACGTTGGACGTGAAACGGATACAGCCCCTCTTCACGCAGCGTTTGCCACACTTTAGTTTTTGTTACTTGCACTTCTCTAGCCACGTCTCTAGTGCTTGTTGAGGGATTTACGTCTAAGCGATTATCTCTACACGCGTGACCGTATCCGTCGGTTGAAAGTTGCATACTGACCTGACACACTGACCCCGACCCAGTTCTGTCGTCGGGTTGAGCTAGTGTCCTAGTACCACTCGGGGATGTCGCGGCTACAGGACGGTATTCAGATATTTTTGATGTTGCAGAGCCCTTTATCTCGGTTCCCTTAAGACATTGGTGTATATGGTACTAAGAAAAATTGCTTATGTTTTCAAGATCTACACGTCGTGTAAAGGAAAACCCCAACTTTGCGGACACCCTGTATATTACTAAATGGTGTACGTAATGATGATCTTACCATGGAAACAGAAATAATTTGTAACTATGCACAAGAATGATCTGAGAAGAATGGGTTCATACTAATGTAAAAGCAGCACAAGTCATGAAGTTGCCGCTAAGAAATGGTCCTGATTTTAGTGTTTGCCTAAATGATAATTCGGCAATTAAATTTTTTGTATCCCTTAGCATTTACCTTGGGAGCCTCATGTGGAATCACTATATAACAAATTATGAATAAGTTGTTATGCAATTAGATTTGTGTCGAACTGTTGTACGAAATATGTAGTACAAGATCTTTGTCATTCCAACTTTAGATGTCACTTACGCTATGGCTTTGTATGCTTGGAATGTAGCTCATCAATAAATAGAGTCCTTTTGATACAGGAGTTGTGGTTAGGAGCATTAAAAATATAGAATGGCGTCAAACACGCAGAAATTATTTCAAATCTCTAAATATTTCAACAATAGCTTATTTACATATGCGAGTTATCAATTTTTGTGTGAAAAACATCAAAATTTTTTAAGCAAAATATATCCATAATTACAACACTACATCTGAAGATTTGTTAATACCCCCTAAAATCGTACAAGTACTTTCTAAACTGTTCTAGTTCCTTCTACTATTTAACGGAGAAATGAATGGAATAATGGACTATTATTATTATTATCATTGTTTCTATTATTTAATTATAATAAAATTTGTGTTTTAAATGTCTATAATTCCAGATCGCCAAGATCCCACATGATGCCCATGGATGACAACTACGACGGCGAATTCGTCAGTATAGCTGCAAACAACAAGGTAGAACTGGTTAAAAGCTGCCTACCAGAACAGGCTGCATTTGTGGAATGCCCACCGCTGTATTGCGGCCTTAGAGTGAAGATCAAGAATCCTTATCGTCACCAAGAAGTCGACACTAGTGCTGAGACGATCCTGAATGAGCTGGGAAGGAAGGCGAGGTCAGCAGGAGAAGGTGAGGTTGTTTTAAATGCTTAAAGCATAGAATAAGCAATGAATGGAAGTATGGAAACGGTAGTGGGGTTTTGCGGTATTCCTCATTCAATTGGCAAAATATGTCGACTTCTTAAACCTGAAATGTATGTTCTTCAGGGTTCGGTCCTTAGGCCAATCCTTTATTCACTTTGGATTCATGTTGTCTCTAGTCGCAGCAACTGTGAAGTCTATCTCTATGCTGACGATACTGCAAAGGGTCCCAGTCGCAGTCTGGTCCTCTGTTGTGCGAGTCAGCGGACTACACAGTCGAGCAGATTTGCAAGCACAAAAGGCTTGCACTGTAATAAAAGTTTGAAACCAAGAACAACCAAAATAGAGCATTTTGATAAATTCCTTATGAAAATAAATTTTTGTAGTCTATATCAAAATCTGTCAAGTGATTTTTTCCTTAAAGTTACTAGTTTCTATGTTACTAGTCATGACAGACTTACAAGGACATTAGAGCTAAGGTCTTACGGACCGCTATGACAACCAATTATGACTTGATTGACTTAAAAAATTTGGCGAATGTTAAACGTCAAACTTATGCCCGTATTTATAGTCGCCACGTGAGGGATGATTGCCACTTAAGTTGCAAAAAAGTTTGCTCGCAGGTTCAGTGAACAATACAGACTGGTGGAATTTTGGCAATTCTATTTCTCACAGCTGTCATCGAAATCATAGGAACCGTTGACACTTTTTCAGGCTTGGCTAATAATTTCTAATTCTATTTTTGAGTCTTTGAGCATACTTCTGTGATAATAAATTACAGTTATTTGCCCTCTAATTACAATAGATATATTGACACCTGTATCGTTTTAATGTTCAAAGTTTGGAACATCGCCGAGAACGATATAGGAGAACAAGACGTCAACGATACCGCCCAGTCAATTCTGAGCAGTGTGGGAAGAATTGCGAAACCAGCAGATGATGAAAAGGAGGAAGAAAATCATCTGAGAGTTGTTGGTGGAAAACCGAGTCAGCCTGCAGCATGGCCGTGGCTGGTGTCCATCTACAAGAACGGAATTTTCCATTGCGGTGGAGTGCTTATGAATGAAGAATGGATTATTACAGCAGCACACTGTGTGGACAGGTAATTACTGAATATTAGTCGTTTTCGTAGTTATCCTCAAAACAAATCTAGAAGAAAGTTTGCCTTCTTACTGAAGACTCAAGCAAAATAAAAAAAATATTTGCCTTTTCACGATAGGCACCCTTTGTAGAATCATTTTCCATCTGCAAAAAACCTTCAAAAAGTACTGCGGGTTAAATCAGCTTCGCGTTTGTAGCATGAAAATCTCACCGTATCCATACATCGAAATCCATACTAATGAAACCCTAGGAGAAAACGACAAGAACATATTAATTTCAGAAGACAAGAGATCTATCAAATACGCCTTTTATTCATATAATGCCAAGCAATGTAAAATTGGAGGTTATCATTTCGTATGTTATAAAAAGAATTAGAACTAAAAAATAATGTGAGCAATAGAACAGTTTATTACCGTGAAACTTTCACCAAATATCATTCCATCCAAACATTTTGAAGTGCCCAAAAACCAAATATGTACGCAATCCAGACTAGTAGTACGTACGTATTCCTATAAATTAATGAAAATCTGTCTAGACATGCTTGCATTTTCCGTAAAATGAGATCAAAAATGTATAAATTTCTTTTTACCGACGTTTCGGCCACTACGGCAGCTTTTTTTAAAGTACAAATCAAGGATAATAACAATACAGGGTGGCCCATCCATGAGTGGACACAATATTACTCATAAACAAATACATTTTGAGAAAATCTATTTATGACATGTTCATATGTGATATTTTTGGCACATTTCTAAAATATTGGCAATTATACAGAGTGTCCCAAATTTGACCTCATATCAAAATTGTGATTTTTTTAAATAGAATGCCGAAGTGGAGGGTTTTTCTAGACAAAACACCTTATATCTCAGTAGCTAATTACCCAAACTCCATAGTTTGTTACATCAGTTCTCTTCTTTTGAAGTGTTTGTCCAAATGTGCAATAAAATTTGAGACATTCCATTTGAAAAATCACAACTTTGATATGTAGGTGGAAATTGGGACACCCTGTATTATGACCAATATTTTATAAATGTGCTCTTAAATGTCGTGTATAACATTCCATAAATAAACTTTCCCAAAATGTATTTGTTTATGAGTAATATTCCGTCCACATATGGATGGGCCATCCTGTATATTTTGTACGTATTTATGTCATCCAGTTTACAGTTCATTTGTTCTTTTATTTACTTCTTTACGTACACAGTATGTAGCCATAAAGCAAGCAAGGCTCAAGACCGCCTTGCAAGCAAGCGAGCATGATATTATCTGTTGTTTTGGATGTACCAGACACGGCTTCTTCGCTCATGGAAAACGCCAAACATTCCAGTGTCTCTACTTCAATAAGCAGGGACTCCCTGTATCCAGGATAAGAGCAACAGCCGGATAAATATTTCACAATTCATAAAAATGGTCGGTTATTGGGGCTGCGGCTAAAAGCCACGGCTGCTCCCAAGAAAAACGTCTTCCATTCCCAACTTAATCTGACCTGGAAAATATACTTTCAGCTGGTGTGCGCCAGCGACACGTTTGCCTCTCCATAAAAGCAAATGGATGGGATCGTTAAGAATGGGTTGCCGCTCTGTTTTGCGCTCTATTTGTAGCCGAGTCATCTTCCCATATGGGTCTCCCACCGAAAGTGTTTAATTTGATGCGAAAGAAATATTTGGAGATGCTGAATTTATGAATTTCTTATTTAGTCATCTGGAAAATGGTAAAGGCAGATTTATCCAAAAATTCTAGACCCGATCCTTTGGGCTGAGAATTCGTAGTCTTGTGATGAGTCTGAAAAAACGACTTGGTATAAAAGATACGAATTGAATAAAATTAGAGGTTTATAACGTTTTTCATTAGAACAGAAATTCGTTGCTTTCTTACTTCCAGTATAAAAACGAGGTTTCTTTTGGAAATTTTGGATTGACCTTGAAAATCATTATCAAGGGCATGATCATGGTCATCTCCACAAACATAACAACTGTGCTGCCGAATGTTTTTGCTAGAGCAAATTGTTTTCGGTGCCTTGATTTGATCTTGAAACAGCCTTGAAGGAAATAGTCAAGGCCATGGTGATGGTCATAACTGAACGTATAATTCTCCTGCACTTTGCAATTCCGATGTGAAACAGGTTTAATTTCAAAATATTCACTTGACATTCAAATGACATTGAAGGTCGTAGTTAAGGTCGTTGTCAAGATTGCCGCCACTTTGTCACCTCGAAGCTTGTAGCTGTGTTTTAAAATGCTTTCTAGGATTTTTTTTTGTGAGGGGGACTCCAGGTTGTCTTGAGGAGACCACCTAATACCCACTAAACCCTAACCTCCGCGTGGCCCGACTCATCAGCGTCTCCTCATGTGTTTCAGTCTCTGGGAACGCCGGGTTGGTTCCCTTTACCTCGCACAGTTCTATCGATGTCGTTAAGCGAGCATCGATCTAGGTTTGCTATGTTCTCTTGAAACTCTTGTTTTCGAAAAATCAAGAGTTTCAAGTCCTCTACTACTAGTATGTTTCCTGGTCCTGGTTGGTCCTGGTCCTGATGGGTCCTGGTCCTGGTGGTTCCTGGTCCTGATGGGATCTGGTCGTGGTCGTCCTGGTGCTCTTCCTCTGCATCCACGCCGTGGGGGGGGGGAGCAACCGCGGGTTCTCCTAGTCTCCTAGTCAAGGTTCCAGTTAGCGGGTGCCAACTGGGACCTTGGTCTAGGGTACCTGGTTCTGCGGTTGCGAGGCCTCTCGTCCGGATCGTAGTCCATGACGAATCGTAGCTGCTCGTTCGGGTGGTCCTGAGCTTTCTGGAAGGTCTTCTCCGCTTTTTTCCTCATGTACTCGTGAATGGTGTCCCAATGCAGGTCTCTACGCAAGGTTGAGTTTCTTACGTAGGATGGTGCACTGGTGCCGATCCGAAGTAGCTTCATCTCTAGAGCAGCAAGTCGCTTTGCGGTAGCTGGGAGCAGCGTACCCCCAGACCGCGGAGGCGTAAGCGAGCTGAGGTCTGGCGATGGCCTTGATCAGCCGTAGCTTGGTCGCTAGCGGCATCCGGCTGTGTCTACCCAGTAATGGGTAGAGTTGGGCCATGGGTGCTCTGGTCTTTGCGATGACAGCTTCTATGTGGTCTTTCCAGGTGAGGGACTTGTCAAATACGATCTCCAGATATTTGACTTTGTCGCTCCACTGGATATCTTCGACGAAGATGGATGCTTCGAGAGGTCTTGCAATCCTTCTTCGTTGGATGAAGATTGCGCGCGTCTTCTGGACGTTGATGTGGATTTTCCATTTCACGCACCAGTCCTGGATGTGGTCCAGTTCATCCTGTAGTCTCCTATGGATGATCTCGGGTCGTCGATGCTTGGCGGCTCTAGCAGTGTCGTCTGCATATATGGCCAGCATTGTGTCAGCTGTCTTCGGTATGTCGTGAGTGTAGATGTTGTAGAGCAGGGGGGCTAAGGCTGACCCCTGGGGCACGCCTGCTTCCAGCTGTCGTCTTGTTGAGTGGCATGTACCAATCTTCACCGCGAACGATCTTTGTGTTAGATAGCTCTGGATCAGTTGGCACATGTTTGCATCGATTCCGGCGGCTTCCAATTTGGCGATGAGTCCATCGTGCCAAACTCGGTCGAACGCTCGTTCCACGTCCAGCAGGACGAGGCCGGTTAACTCCTGGAGATTGAAGCCACTGGTGATGTTTTCTATCAGTTGTAGCGCTTGCAGTTCCGTGTTATGGGAGGATCTAAAGCCGAATTGCTCTGGGGGGAGAAGTTCCAGTTCTTCTGCTTGCTTCTCTAGTCGAACGGCGATAGCCTTTTCGACTACTTTGCCCATCGAGGAAACCAGGCTGATGGGCCGGTAGTTCTGAGGCAACTTCCGGTCCTTGCCTGGCTTGGTGAGCATTATAACCTGGGCTTCCCGCCACCGCCGCGGGAAGTGGTTAAGTCTCAGAGTGGCATTGGCGATGTTGGTGAGCGCCGCAATGCCTTTGGAGGGAAGGTTCTTTAGCATCCTGTTGTTGATGCCGTCCCTTCCCGGCGCCTTTCTGACCTTCAACCTGCGGATGGTCAGACGGATTTCCTTTGGACTGGAGGGATGATCCGTCTCCTGGCTAGGTGGTCGTCTCCTCATGATTTCGGCTGCGACTTCCACGCATTCGGATTCTAGCGAATCGGCGAATGCTTCAGCTTTTTCTTCACTGGAGTAGGCCAAGCCGCGTTGGCCGTGAAGAGTGGGGATCATGGTGCGCTGACGACGAAATTTTCCCTGCATAGTCCAGGCCGTACCATCCTGGGTCTCTAGTTCTTCACAGGCTGCATTCCATCTGCTGTTTTGGAGTTCCGCGAGTACGTTCTTGAGAGCTAGCGATGCTCTGTTTCGCGCAACTCTCGAGTCCTCTGTCAACACCTGGAGATGTTCTCGCTTGAGTCTTCTGTTCTCTCTGATCAGGTGCCTAATATGGTGCGGTGCTGGACCATTTAGGTGTCTAGGAACTGCCGTAGTCTCGGAGTGGGTGCTGTCCTCGTGCGCTCACAGGACAGCATTCTCCAGCTCCTCTACTGCGTTGTCCACTTTCTAGGATGCCTGTATTCGAAATATTCATGTAGTCAGCTACATATAGAAGAGCGAAGCAGTTGCCTTCCGGCATCCCAAAAATATCGAAAAAGGCAAATCAGTGATGCCAAGATTTAGTATTAACTATTTCGAATGTAAAGCGGTGACAAAAGAAAATAAGCTGTCATCTCGAAGACAAATGAATATAACATACGTTTTTCATTGCCATGTTTGTCATTAAACAAATGAAAAATCAAACAAATATTGCCATATGTAATGAAAAGAAAAGTTAATTGAAATACTGTGTTGATAAAAATATCAATCAAACTAAAGTGCTTTGGAAAAAGTTATTAAATTTAAATATTAGCAACAAAAAAACAGGTTGTATTCCCGATGAGCTGAATAATCTGGATGACATAAATAACAATTTTCTTCAGATCTTTCCAGCAAGCCCATCAATAGACTGTGACA